TTAAAATGTGAAATGTACACACGTACACACACATATATACAATATTTTATATATATTTACATGTTTATGTGAAAAATATACCAATACACATTCTTTATATATGAAAAAATAAAAATAAAATATAAAATAAAGAAAAATATTCCTAATTTTTTATTTTTAGTTTTGTGTACACTATTCCTTCTTCAAATCACGTAAATTCACCAAAAAACAATTTTTTGTGAAAATGTTAAAGCATTTTCGTTCACGCTATTTGTTTTACTTTTAATAATAAAGTAAGTATTTTCGTGTTCTTTTTTGGTTTTTCATTTTCCTTTTTGATGAATTTTCTTTCTATTACATATATTTTGTATATATACATGAATTTAATAATGTGCAAGGATTTAAGAACAAGACAAGAAACAATGTAAGGTTACACCATAACATTTAGTTTCCGTATGTTATAAATAAGAAAAAGAAAGAAAAACAAAAAAATAAAAACTGACTATACATGGAATCAAATAAAAGGTAATCAATTTTTAATCACTTTAAGAGAAAATTCGTTAAATTGTAAATACCTCCCTGTCTATAATAGCACTTATATGTAATATGTGAGCAAATTAAAGTTAAGTCTGCATGTTAAAGAAACTATAACATAATTACTTTTTACCGTTCAAAATAATTGCATATCAAGTGAATTACAAATACAGTAATGTAATTCTATTTTAATGTATGAAATATAATATAGAGAAGCAGTTAGATGTATTTGAAATATGTATGTATATATGTAATATACTTGAATCTATTCTTCATAATTTTTGAATTTAAAAACATATAAGATTTTAATGAAAACAAAGAATTTAATTTGATTATAGTTAACTACTGATGTAGCAACAGGTTAAACGTACTAATGTTGTATTTGGTTCGAAAAGGGTTAATATTAAATATAAATTTAAAATGTTGGTGCTTTATAAAACAAACATTTTGTGTTCTATATTGTTATCCGATCGGGCATATTGAAACGTTTAAAATATTAAAATCGTCTCAAATTATTTTGTAAAGATTATTAAAAAATTATCACGTAAACCTCCTTTTTCCATGGTAAAAATTTAGGTGATTTTGAAAAAAAAAATAAATTACTCCAAAATATCGAATTCTTTTTTAACATTGTTACTTAATCGTTTTAATTTTCATTCTGAAAACATTGGAATAATTAAGCCAATTAAGTTTATTTTTGCTGATTACTTGTCTCTCTGTCATACATTGAAATTTGCAAATAAATTTTTGGTTAAAAGTTAATATTTTATAAAAAACATTCTATGTTAGCCGAAATTCGTTTATTGCTCTTCAAAATCTTAAATATGCAATTTTTTGACAAAATTTTGTATCAAAATGTAAGCAATTGTTTTAGTATTTGAAAGTTAAATGATTGAAGTTTATCCGCTATCTAAGAAATTGGAAAAAATATTTGATAACATTTTTTCAAGCCTCCATTAAACTTTAAAAACCCTAAATTTCTCAAATTAATAAAAAATTAATTAAATAGTTCATTTCACTCTAAAAAAAATTTAGATTTGAACTTTATTTGTTTTCAAGTTTTTGTATCGAACCCAGAAGTATGCAATAAGCGAAATATGCTCTTCCTAACAAACTGGTTACAAAAAAATTTATTATAATGAAGCAGTTTGAAATCATATAAAAAAAATAAAAGGAAGCATGGTCGTTTTTAAAAATGCGTGCCAATATGTTTGTAAAGCTTTACCTGTAAAATGGTGTGCTCGCAAAAACATTCTCTTGTACATAATTTTGCAGCAAAAATTGAAAATATTTTGAAAACTAAATACATATGCCATCTATTTTGTGAATTCTACTTATTCTACTTATTCAATTATAAAGTTGGTTTAAACTATAAGCCGAAAGAAAACCCGAAGTTTGCCGAAAATAACAAATACTAATATATTTAAAATAAAATAGAATTTTTTAATGACTTAAAAACATTGAACAAAATTTTCTTCACTAGCTGTGTCCGTTTTTGTATTACGAATTGCATAAATTTAGGGGAAATATATGAAAATTTTATAATCGTGGAATTGCAAAGTTTTAAATGTAACAAATTCCTACTTAATAATTTTGTAAAATTCCTAAGATTTTTACATTACTTTTGATTTTTAGATGGATTTAAATGAACTTTAGAAATCAATTTTCAAATATAAATCAAATAAATTTGATAATCATTTTGATCATTTCTAAAAGAAGCTATACGAACTCCACAAAATCTGAAATGAAGATAATTTTCTAAAGGTCAACCTACAAAATCCTTTCCCCATTAAATTACTAAATATTTTATCTAACTAAATAAACCTATTCTCACTCCCATATCACGTTAATGAAAAATAACAATTTTTCCAAATAATTCAAAATTTTTCACTTAAAATATTTTTGCTTTGAATGCACAAAGATTTATTAATGAATAAATAAGATTACATTATTACATAGAATACAAAATTCAAAAAAAAAAAAAAAATAATAAAAAGATTAAAAATATTTTATATAGAAAACTCTTTTTAGTTTAAAATATCTTTTAATCTACAACAACAACAACAAAAATTTCATATAGAAATTTCTAATCTAAAAATGCAAAAATGCAAAAAAAATTAAAAACTATACACTAGACTTTTATTTATTTTCTATTTAACATAACTAAAGCACATTATACATACATACAAACATAGATTACATATAATCTGCTCAATCTATATAATATGGAGGAAAAAAAATCTAATGTAAAATATAAAAAATGAAAATTCCTTTTAATGAATCTTAAGCAAAGTTTAATGGAACCCTCAAATTGAAATATTTAATGAAAGCAAATCTTATATATGTATATACATACATATGTACTAATGTAAATGTGTAGGATGATAGAAGAGATAAAATTGTAATTCTATATTTTTTTCTTTTCTTTCATTTTTATCTACTGATTTTCTGGGAATATACATACATACATTCATATTATAAATTGTATATATTGCCTATCTATCTAGTATAATACAATACATATAGAGCTCGCATATAATATTATTCACGGGGCATAAAATAGCAAGAAAAAAAAATACCTATATCTCTTTATAGAAAAAAAAAAAAACTCTTTTTGTGTAGCGCTGCATATAATGACATCCTTTTTAAAGAAACATTAAATACTTTGCCAAAAAACTTCTTCCAGATGTGACCTTTTTCGCTTTATTTCTTTAAAAAAAAAAAAAAATATTATAGGTAAAGCTTGAATACTATTTAACGGCGAGGTTACTTTATATTATTATTATTATTATTTTTTTTCTTCTATTTTTTGGTACAAAGGTTTTTACATGGCGGATTTTAAAAGAATTTTCTTATGAACAAAAACAGAAACAGAAAAAAGAAAATACGTTTCAAAGTGGTGGAAGGTGAAATGAAAAAATAAAAAACAAGAAAATGAAAAAAAAAAAATTGTTTTTTCATTTTCTTATTTTTTTTTTAAATAGAGGCTTTCATGTCCTGTCTAACAGAAGAATTTAATTTCTTTCTAGAGATAAGAATTGTAGATATCATTTGTTTTAAAAGCTTTCACATTTTTTTTTTGCAATTGCTGCACTAAAGACTTTTTAAATACAAAAAAAAAAAAATTAAATCAGAAAAAAATTAAAAAAAAAATGAAAAAATAAAATATAATACATAAAAGAAAAAAAAAACGAGAAACAGAAAATAGAAAATAAAACAAAAAACAAAAAGAGAAAGAGAAAAGAAATATCAAATGCCGCAGGACGAAAGACATGAATGGATTTTTGTATGGTCTAAGAGGTTATCTCTTTATTTTTTAACTCTAATATACATATAAATTTTTTTTTTTTTAATTTTTGTATTTTAAGAAGTAGAGAGCTGAGGATTAAACAAGGTACACATTTTTATAATATCCTATTTATTATTCTATGAAGCATTAAAACAAGCAAAAAAACAAAAAAAAATAAATGAGGAAAATTAAAATTCTCTGTAGAAAAGGAAATGTCAGACCATTATTTAAAATATAGGAGAACAAAAAAAAAAAAACAAAAACTATGTGATGCTCGTATAACAAATTAAAAAATAAATAAATATAAAAAGTTTATTTGGAGACGCAGAGCGAGAGAGAGACAGAGCAAGAGAGAGACAGAGTGCGAGAGAGGTAATAAAAGAAAGAGGAGCAAACAGCAAATACAATTGCTAAAGCCATCGAGCTAGGCTAGGCTCTCCAAAATAATAATTTTCAGTAAACAAAGTAGTAAAAAATTAAAAGTATAAAAAAAAAACAAATGCAAAAAAAAAAAACAAAAAAATAAGTTTCAATTTTCTCTTTTCATGCATTTTAATTTTTTTTTTTCAGTTTTTAATAATAAACAAAAAAAAAATATGCGGTAAAATTAATTTTAAGTTTTCTCTCTATTGTTAATGTGCTGGAATTCAATTTTTTTGTTTCTCTTATTCTCTTTTATTTTTATTCTCTTTATATTTTAATATTTTTATACAATAAAAATTTTATTATAGATTACAAATAATTTCGAATCAATCGTAAAGAATTTTCTTCATCGAATTTATTGCAAATGTTAAGTATGACATCAGAAATTGTCAAAGAGAGAGTGAAATAATAATAATTTAAAATTGACAGAAGAAGGTGCTCTATTGTTGCAAAAACAGAAAAACAAACACTCACACTATGAATGACGTAAGTTATTAAAAAAACAAAAAAAAATATTAAAAACAAATAAAAAATTTTTAAAAAAGTATCAAATTTAAAGTACAAGGATTGAGATTTCCTTTTTCACACAAAGAGAATAAAATTAAAAAAAAAAATATTTTTTTCTTTCATGTTTTTTTTTGTTTATTAATTTAGTTAAAATTTGAAATGTAAATATGTAAATAAATTTTTTTTTTCACTTTTTATTTTTGCTTTTCTTTTCTGTTTTGTTTTTTTTCTTCTTAATCCTTTATATTATTTAAAATGAAAAACTTACCTGTCTAAATGAAAGGCTGCTATCTCAGCGTTATGTCTTTCGAAATCAGTAAAGTAAAAATGATTTGGTAAAGTTTCTTGTTCTCTAGGAAATCTACAAAAAAAAAATAAAAAAAAATAAAAATTAAAAACTTTAATATTTGTTTTTTTTTAAAAAAAATATACATATTTATAATTATTATAAGTTTGTATGTATGTGTTAAATTTTAAAAATTTATTCAACCATTCAACAACATTTTTTTTTTCTACTTTAAAGATTTGAGTAGTAAAGATAATTTTTGCTGCCTTTATATGAAAAAAGAACTATAACTCTCATTAAAATTTTTTTAAAATTTGAAATGTGAGAGAGAGAGAGAGAGAGAAAATGCAAATAAACAACAAAGTTGTTTTAATTCCTTAATTTTTATACATTGAGACATCTGGCGATACAAAAAGTTACAATATTATTTAAAAAATTTAATGAGCTCGTGCAAATTTTGTTGTTCATTGAATTTTTACATTTATAACTGAATACACAATACTAACTTGTAATGTCCGATAAAATTTTATATAAAGTATGTAATTTAGAACCATAATAGTAAGCAATTTAAGAATATTAAAATCATTATATTAAACAATTACAAAACACCTTCCATACCAAAAGAAAACTTAGAACATAAGTAAGTTATGTGCCACAATATGAAAATTTGGAATTCATAAAAATTTGCACGAATTAAGCTTAGCAGGCATGATGGTATCAGTGAACGTAACTCACGCATTTTGGTTATTTAGAAGTGCGATACACTGTGTAATAGAAAATTAAACAAATTGTTTCAAAGTTCAATTGAGTTGGAAAAATGTTATTTTTTTTTTACAAAATTTGGTCTGTTTTATCACATTTTTAAAATTGGAAAAATTGTAGATGATGGGGACTTATTTTAGTGTATAGTTTTTTTATATTAATTTTAATAAGTAAATACTAAAGTATTTACTTCGTATGAGTTAGACAATAAAACATCTTGAAGTAGATTGGAATATCAAAAATTGAGAGAGGTTTTAATATAATACTCGGATTTAATATAATAGATTTTTTGTCCGGGCTAAGAAAAATATTTATAATTTTTGCTAGTGTAGCATTTACCGTTTTCTTTTTGCATTTATAGAAATTTGGAAAAGCTAGCAGTTTCGGAAATATAAAATGTCAAAAATTCAAAATTTTACAAATATCAAAGAACAATAACTTGAGGTGAATACATTTCTACAAACGAACTAAATTATTAAAAAGTATCTAAAAGCAGGCAAAATTTCATACTCTCACAATTTATTGTTTGAAAGAACGGGTTTCGTGCCCTGATAGCTGAAGCCAGCCATAACTTTATTGCGTTCGAAAAATTTAAAAAATGTTTATGGTTTCTTTGAAATAAATAGTCGGAATATAGTATTTTTAAGTCTTTGAGGAATCATAACGTTTAGAGGAGGCGGAGGGGATAAGTAACAATTTTTTTCTACAAAGATAGGTTTCTAGTAAATATCAATGTGCATATGAACATTTCAGTTGTCTCTAGCACTCAGAAGCTCGGACGGACTACCAACCAATTTTTTTAAATTTTTTGTTTTTGGAAAAGTGCTGAAATAAAGCCTAATTTCTAAAATAAATTTTCGGAAATTTTATGAATATTTTTCTCTAAATTCAAAAAACTGGAAACGAATTTTTTTTATTTTTTTTTTATAAACTCTTCTTTCTGGAAGAGTTCTAGTGTCTTCTTTTAGACACTAGAATAAGAACAATTTAAAAAAATATTGCATTCTACAACGTTTTTCTGTAATAAAAAATTTTAATTATAAACAGTCAGTTTTAATCTCATCCAAAACTGTGTCTAAGCTTTTCATACTAATTTGTTATCTCACATTCATAGCGTGTATCCAAATTATTCAAATACATAGAGAGTTAAAATATTTGAAAGCACTGTTATACGTTTTCATATTTTTCGACTTTAAGCCTATTTTGAATTTGAACGAAAAGGAACAAAGTTTGAATTTTAACATTGCTGCCGTCTATCAAAAACCATAATTTTTCTCATCTTTTTCTCTCACTTTGTTTTTTCTTTTTTACAACTACACTGCATTGCAAGCGCAAAGTCAAATAATATTGCTCTCTGCTTTTACGAATGCGAAACATGTTTTTCATATAAAAAAAAAAATTTTTTTTTTTGTTCTTGTAAATTATTTTTTATTCTAGATTTTTACTCTACGTATAACACTTTACCGTTGATTAAAGAAAATATAAGGAATTTTTTTTTTTTGCTGAGATATCGATACAAAAATTGTCTGTTTTATATGAAAAAAAAAATGCAAAAAGTATTAAAAAATTTCATTTTCATTTTGATGAAACAAAAGGATTCTGGTTTCCTTTTAAATACTTAGTTCCTTGCTTAAATCCAAAAAAAAAAAACATGCTGATAAATTTTTTAAAAAACCCGAAACCATAATGGTTAAAATTTTCTGCATACATAAAAGTAAATTCAACGCCACAGATGCAACTAATCTATGAGCATACTTAAAACTTTTTCGTTCTTCTCAAATATTTTCCTTTTAATTTCCATTTTTATTCTCTTCTTTCTGTTTTTCAGTTTCTCTTTTTATTATTTTGTGCTTTTTTTCCCTTTGAAGTGTTCCACAAAGAAAAAGATATAACCGAAACATAAATAAATCATCTATACCAGAAACACAAAAAAAAAGCAACAAAATAGAAAATCAAAAAAAAAAAAACTTGAAAAATTAAAACTTTAATTTTACGTGAAAACTTGCGGAATTTCATAGCTAGTTTTTCCTCTTTTTTTCCACTTTTCTCATTATTTTTTCGTATATCTAGCTAGCATATTGCGCATTAATGGCAATAGTATAAATTTTAACATAGCAGTAGCATAAAAGTAGTAGTAGTGGTAGCAGTATAGTGTGGTAGTGATTTATGCATAAGAAATTCTTAACCATTTTGCAATGAAAATTTTTTAAAGGAAAAGTTTATCTTTTAAGAACAGAGGAAAATCTTAATAACAAAAAAAAAATATAAGAAAAACAAAAAAAAAAAACAATATATAATTAACCCGCACGTAATTTATTGAGCAAATTTCAAGAGATTTACTTTATAACGACGATGTCAATATGTTTCCTGTTGCGGACAATGGTATTAAAAAATTTCTTTTGATGATGCAGAAAGCAAGAAAATAATATAAAACTGAGGAAAACGTTTAATGTTGGTATATAAAAAACTTTATTTAGAAAATATTATTTAATTTAGAAAAACTCTTTAATAAACTGAAATATAATAAACAAGGAAAATTTAATGGACCAAAATTATTTTAGAATTTAAAACATATTTAAACTTAACAGGATATTCTTATATTAGGGATTAAAATTAAACTGTAGTGAATGAATTCGCTTTTTAATGAAATTATTTTATAGCTCGCAAATACGAGTATAAATTCTTCGCATATATATCTTAGAGATTTTAAATTTCAAGCGTAATAGTGAGCTTTCAATGTAGTTTATTAATTAAAATTTGTACACAAACTTAAAAACTGAGAACAATTTCTTGCAAATTAATGCCATTTTAAGCCGATAATGTTCTTATACTGAAATATATATTTTTCCGGTCAAAGAAACTAAAATTTTCCGCCTAAAGAAACTAATGAAATTTTTTATAACGTTTGCTTAAAATAATTTTCGTTTGCAGCCCACATTATTTAATAAAAATTTCTACTGTACTTAATACTTATTCTTTGCGAATATTAAACTTACCTCATCGGCTTCATAAGAGCTTTGACATTATTAGGATATTCTATAACTAATTTGATTTGTGTTCCACCATCTTTTTGATCTAAAATTTTTCAAAAAATTATTTTTTTAATTAATATTAAAACATTTAATTTTTTATAAAAAAAATTATTGTATTTATACTTACAAACATGTTGAATTGGCAAATTAATCATGTCACTTAATACAGCGCTTATTGTTAAATCCGATTCTTTATATAATTCTTGTTTAGAAATTGACAATTGAAATTTCTCCAAATTGGATGCATTATCACTGTAACGACAATAAAAAAAAATAAAATTTAGATAATTACAGAATTCAAAAAATTTATTTTTAAAAAAAATTCAATATATTTATCACATTAATTCTAATACGTACAACTTCGTTAATTTTCGTGCATTAATCGTAACAAATTGTCAAATTTGTACATATGTTAAACATTCCTTATTAATATTGAAAAGAATTAACGGTAATTCAAAACCATTATGTTGAATTTTAATTCAACATTGTATAAAATAAAATATAAATTTTTGTGTTCTATTAAATTTTCTTATATAAAAAAAAACAGCTCAATTCAATTTCTCTCTTTTCATTGTTTTTATATTGGTGTCAATTTTTATTATACAAAAAAAAAAAAAAGAAAGAGAAAAAAAATCCCTAATACACCACTTTCGAATTACATTTTTTATTCCTTTTTTTTTTTCTTAATTATTTCTCTTTTTTATGGGAGTTCAACATTATGTTGGAAAATCTCTTTACTTATGTTATGGGAGTATAATTTATATACTTTGTGAAATCAACTTGAACTGTTACTTTATACTTCTATAGATCAGATTGTCCTTTTGTACCATAAAGCAAAAGGAAAAATTTTCTTTTCTCTTCTTTCAAAAATTTTTTATGCAATTCAACAGAAATTTCAAAGTTTCTACAACAATTGACTATGATGAATAAATTGAAAGTGAGGATACATAATATTTATTGAGTACGTACTATATGTATAAATTGCACATCACATACACTATATACACATTTTCTCAGGTTTAATATGGAGCAAATAACTATACGTCAAAGGCAAAAACAACATAAATTTGAAAAAAAAAAGAAGAAAACCGGAAAAAAAAAACACATTTGAATAGCATAAGCATACCAAATTGTCACTCTCGACTGAATATTTGATTTCAATTTCAATTCCTGAACTCGGCTATATATACATATATACGCTTGGCTAAATTTATCCATACATTATTGTAGGTAAGTGGTACATTTAAGTAGATAAAATATGACTATACAATATAATATTTGTGTAGATGTGTGTATGGATTGAATTTAATATGTAACCAGCCTTTTTTTATTGATCAATATAAATCTGAATTTGCAGAGAAAGAAAAATTACAATTTATAAAAAAAGAAAAATGGAAAAATAAAAAAAAAAAAAGATGCCTGTTCAAGTTGATTCCTCTCAAATCACGAATAAATGCGATAAGGATATGAGCAAAGTATTATAAAAAAAAAAAAATAAACGTATTCTACATAGAATGAGATGAGAATTCTACTATATTGTGAATACTTTGTGTGTATGTATGATATGGAAAGATATCTGCCACAATTTTACTTAAAAAAAAAATTTTATATGGTCAGCACGTAACCGACCTTATTTTGTATGTTTTCGGAACAATCCCAATTATTTCTTAGACGAAAGATCGCGTAAAATTTTGAAAAGTTCATTTATGCAACTTTAAATTTAAAATTTTTGGAAAGTCTGCCAGCAATTTAAAATTGGATTTATAGTAGATTTGTGCTATTTTTCGAATATTCAGGAAATTCCATTAAAATTTCTTACATTTGGTTACAAATTTTAAATTGGCCCTTATAGTGGGAGCTCAGTTTTCTAGTTCTGATATTCCAACAAATTGATCAATTAAATTTTTTTTGATACTTTCAAAATTTTTCTTTTAGAATATGAGTCAGTAAAATCGGTCCCGTAAGTAGAATGATGCTCCAAAATTTTTCTAACATGCTCGAAAAGTTTATTTAAAAATAAATTTTTATGAAAATTCTCAGATTCAACTGAAATTAACGGATTGAACACGGAAAAACAAACGTGTTTACAACTATCTCCGTATTCGACTCATGGCGCTACTTGCGAATACTAAAATAAGATTGTTGTCACTGACTATCACTGAATAAGTGAAACAATTGTTTACATACGACTCAGTAGAGGGCACGACCCAGTGTATTTAGGGTTCTCATTCTAATATCTCTATTAGTTCTCTACTAGTGTGAAAAAATACTTTTCATTTGAAAATTTGACGCGCAAATTTTGGTATGATTACAATACCCCCGTTATTTTATTGCAACACAGATGGGAAAAAAAATACAGAAAACGCAAAAAAATGTATGGTAGAAATTATGAGGAAGTTGAAAAATAATAAAAATAATCAAATATAGAGTATCATGGTGAAACATGAATTTAAATCTTAGGCATATAACAAGATATTATTACAATTGCAGCTTGAACACCTGAACAGAGAAACGACTGAAAAAAAAAATCTGCAAAACAATTTCTTTTTTTTTATTTTTGTTTTTTTTTTTTTTTTTTTTTAAGAATGATGTTATTTAAAAGCATACCTACACTTATAGAAGGTAAGTAAGCATGAAACACATACACACATAATATAATCATATGGATATAGAAAAAGAAAAGTCAATACATCAAATCTTGATATATTTCTTATTTTCTTTTCATACAGTTACACAATCTTATATACACAATATAATACTTATATATGCAATAATATAAAAGTTATTGTTAAAAAAAAAAAGTTAGAAAATATACAAAAATTAGTGGAGCGTATATTTTGTTAAAAATCTTTTATACAATATCCATACATACATACAAACGTACATATATACGCAATATAATAAAAATGTCTGTATATATGAACAAGAAATCTTATAATAGCTTTTATATTAAAAAAATAAAAAGAAAAAAGAAAAAAGGAAATAAGAAAACAAGAAAAAATGTAAAAAAGACATAGGTTTTTTTTAAGACTCAGACTGAAAAATATTTTATGCTTTTGTTACCCATTAATAAGTTTTATATTTTATGATTGACATTTCGATCATTTTGACTCTATATAAATTAAGAAAATTCTCTATCATTTATCATAAATTTGACAACACAAAGGATATTATATTTTTGTTATAACTATGCATTTACATAAAAGCACATAGGTACCAAATACATATTATATTATATACAAAAAAAATGATTTCTTTTTTGCTCTCTTCTAATTTATATTCATACAAAACACACACAAACACATATATATAGCAATCATACATAATCTCTTCAAATAAAGTATAGGTATGAATATCAATTTGTTGTAAAAAATTTTTGTGATTTTATAAAATTTATTTTCAAATTATCAGAAAAAAAAAATAAGAATACATAAATATATTTATATATAGTTAATTTTACATTACCTAAATTTTTTTTATATAGTATATAGATTGTCAATATATAATTTTATATGTAGGTAAATAAACAGTGAGAGAATAAATTTCTGGTACGATTAAAATTATTTTTCAATTTTAGGTAAGAATTAAAACCGATTAAACTAATTTTTATTGTTAATTGAAAACAAAGTTGCACTATCTATGTAAGTGCCTCTTGAGTCTTAAGAATCCTGAATAGCAGTCGTGCAGTAAGTATAACAAATTTAAGAAAGAAATATTGGCAAAAGTCAACGCTAGTATAACAAATTTAAGAAAGGAAAATCGGCAAAAATCAACGTATCTAAAATTTTCTAGATTTAGTTAAGTAAAAAGTTGTAACAACATCAAACCCTATAACTCAAAACTGTATTATAGAGAAGATATTGCTTCTCTATAATTGCATACATACCAGAATATGTGTACATATAAAATGTTAGAACATTTTTTTTTTTAAATTTATCAAAATTTATTTTTTTCATTAGTTGACGAAAATATTGTATTAATTTCCACATAATGAATATTTTTGCTTAATTTTACGTCTTTTTTCATTAAGTGTGATTATTTATTTATACGTATTAATATTCCAATATAACAGTTATTGCATACAGATAAGCGTTCCATTTTCAAACTAATACTAACAACTAAATTGATTTTAAGAGGTGTAGACCTTGATAATAATTCAGCTAGTACTCTAGGATTTAATTCGAAACAATATGAAATTAGTACACATTTTTGAGTGAGGACTCTGTTATACATGGTTGTTATTCTAATATATACTTGAAATTTTAAACGAGAAATTAGAATAAACGTGCGTAACTATTAAATATTGGAATGATTTTTAAATTTCAAAGCATTATTATGTGATTGTTTTAGATACATTTAATGTATGGAATGATATCCTTTGACGGAATGTAAACAATAAAGTTTAATATGAAGTTTAATTTATTTCCCCAAGAAATGAACTTTCCCAGTAATTTTGTTGTAACTGTTTGAATATTTGACAAACATTGCTTCAGAAATTTTTCTCGGGTCAAGAAATTAACACTACTTATCTACAAGATTTCATATTTGGAGAATATTAGGCAATATTTTGAGTGTTGATTTACCACAATTGCATATGACGAAGAAATTTATAGAATAATAATATAAGAATGTTATGGAGTACGATGATTTTATGTTGTCACTGTATGCAAACCCTTTGTATTTACCTAGATCAAATGTATATAAATACAATTAAGATTTCTTTTGCAATTATGTATGTAAAGTATGAGAAAATAGTATTGAAATTTAAAGTATTCAAATATTATTGGTACATGAGAATTCAAATTAGTATTCATTTTGATTTTATGTATAATAGTTATATTGTCATAAATAAATATTCTTTATATAATATTAGCTTAAGGCTTACCTATAATACCTGAATATAAAACGATAATAGAAAAATTCTTAAAAAAGATTTTATCCTACAATATTTGAGTAAATTAGTTTCTATATTTGAAAGATTTTATTTACTTCATATAAATTACATACATAAATACATGTGAGTTGAAAAATTTCATATAAAAATCATAAAGTAGATTTTATTGTCTATCAAATTAAATTCTTATAAAAAAATTTTTTTTTCACAAATTTTATTCATTTACATTTGAGCTTTGAAGTCACAAAAAAATTATAAAAAATTTTTAATTTAATTTTTCACTTTCAATTACAATTACAAAGTCATAATAAAAAATAATAAAAAAAGAGTAAATTGTAGGTGATTGCAGATGGCGCTG